TTCCCTACCCCACCCCACCCCCTCCCCCCATCTTCCCATCCTGGCGAGACCACAGGCATGCTCACGTGCATACTTAGTACGTACAGGTTGAATCAGAAACTGAACCCGGGTCCTCCATGTGGGCCTAGCACATTGTAGAGCAAGCAGCATGTTATCACTGCGCCACTGTGGCTGGCCTGAAAGTATTACTCAATGAGGGCTGTGACAGCAGCTGTCTCAAAAGGGACTGATCTTTAAGTCGCCAGGTCCAGGGCTCAAACCGTGGTCGACTACGTGGGAGTTGACATAGCCATTACGTCATCTGCTGGTCCCAGAAGGAACTGACCTTTTTTTTTTTTTTTGAGGAGGTTTTTGCTATAGGGCGCGTGCGCTCTCAAGACAGACAGAAACAGAGAGACAGAAAGCGAGAAATCACCTCCCAGAGGGGATGGCCACACCACAATCCCTTCTCCTCCATTCTCCTCTCAGGATCTTGGGCATGCACGCAAATGTGCCCGGCATGAGTTTAAGCCACCAGGTCCAGGGCTTGAACCACAGACGACTACATGGGAGTCCAGAGATGTAGCCATTATGTCAACTGCTGGTCCCCAGAAGGGACTGATCTTTAAGAGAGAGCTGTGGGTGAAAGGTGGAAGTGATTAGCATGCACTAAACATTATGGAAAGAAGACCTAGGATTGTAGGAATGGCAAAGTATACTGGTTAAACCAGAGGACATGAAGGTCCTTTGAGATTTCCTCATTCTTTCTGCGTAGTTCCTCAGAAAATGTGTTAGCATTGGCCTCAGACTAATCCAGGACCTCATTCTACACTGGAGAGAGACTGAATGCTGCTGGGGTTTTTTTAAGGGTGGGTGGGGTGCCCTAGGTGGACCTGCGTATTCAAGAGTTTGTTACATTATACTTCATTATTAGTAGATGACTTTGAAATCTTTGTTAAGTTGGTCACATAACTGAAGAAACGTGATTCTTCTATGAAAGAAAATAAAGGAGACTTGTTGTCGTTTACAGATACTAGTTTTTTAAAGAGAAGTTTATTTAGGTCACAGTTAAGAAGTCTGAAGTTCAGGGGCTATCTTCTGCGGAGGCTACGTGGCCAGAAGGCAGAATCTTTAGCAGAGTGGCTCTTCATAAATCTCTTCTTGTTCTCCTCTGTATCCATGTGAGCCCAGAAATTAGTATCTTTAAAACAGACATGCTTGGGACCAGCAGTTGGCATAATGGCCGTGTCGCTAGACTCCCATGTAGTGGACTGCGGTTCTAGTCCCGGATCCAGTGGCTTAAACTCACACCAGGTGTGTGTATGTGCCCAAGATCCCAAGAAGAGAATAGAGGAGAAGGGATTGCGTGGCCATCACCCCTGGGAGGTGATTTCTCACTTTCTGTCTCTCTGCTCTGTCTTTCTGGTGAGTGTAGGAGCCCTATAGCAAAAAAAAAAAAAAACAACCTCTCCAAACAAACATGCTCAGGTACTATTTTCAGTGTTTCCTCTTTAAGGCAAATTTTCAATATTATTTGCTTTCTTTATACTTACCATGACCACCCATAACACCTTTTAGCTAGTCATCTGCCTCTTTCTGTTTTTCATTTATTTAGGTAGCCAATAGTTTAACACCTCATCTCATGCCATAGATTACAACATCTCGTGGTTAATTAGTATAGTCCCTGGAGCCAGACTGCCTAGATTTGAATCCTGACACTGGCATCTCCTAGAAGTATAATCTTAGGCAAGTTATTGGATCCTGCGAATCTCATTGAGTTGTTGTGAGGACTGTGTGGGTTAATACATGTAAGTGCCTTGAACACAGTGCACGGCACATAGTAAGGACACAGTAAACGTTAGTGCTCATGGTGATGGTCAGTGGTGGTGACTTTATTCTCTATCCTAGATTTTCTGTGAAAAACATTAGTAACAAATTAGAGGCCACATGTTGATTGATACACAATACTAATTAGTTGTTTTTATGGGTTACAAACTATAAAAATAAATCATAAGGGTATTTTATTTTGTCATGAACACTCTTGTAGTCAGACTAGTATATGTTTTTAATGTTTTTAGGCAGCAGATTATGGCAGCTTTAAACTCTCAGACTGCCGTGCAGTTCCAGCAGTATGCAGCCCAGCAGTATCCAGGGAACTACGAGCAGCAGCAGATTCTCATCCGTCAGTTGCAGGAGCAGCACTATCAGCAGTACATGCAGCAGTTGTATCAAGTCCAGCTTGCACAGCAACAGGTATGACAGACACCCCCAGAGTTGAGCCTCAGAGAAGGCTTCTAGTTTCATTGGAATTCAAGTTCTTTTTTTAACAGTTGCCAATGAAGTTTACATTACTTAACCAACAGAGTATAAAGTAACTTTCAGGTTTTCTTTCAGGCAGACTTTAGCATTACACTGGCAGTTGTGAGAAGAACAACCTGATACTGAAGCAACAAATGATACAACTACTGTTATGCTGTAAGGGTATTTGGGAGTTGTATGGGCTGAGTGTCATTACAATGAGTCTGATATAGACCCTTAAGGTGCTTCTGGAACCATGAGAGCCTGACTAAATAGCCTTAGTTCAAGAGGTTTTTGTAGGCAGTACAGTTTCAGAGGCCCAGATAGCTTCCAGTGCCACAGGCCAGTTCTGCAGCTCAATCAGGTCCCTGTTGACTTTTGTGGTAGGCACCATAGCAGGATAGGGCTCACAATAACACACTGGTGTTTCTCCTCCAGCTCCCTACCCCTAAGTATAGGAGAAGGTGCTTTTGGGGAAAGAACATGGGACCAGGGCCTGAGACCACTTGGATTTATCCTAGCTTTGCCATGATCTCAGAGAAGTTACTTCTCTTTAATTTTTCTGTCTTTTCTCCCAGTCTGTAAGAATAGGACATAAAATCAAAACACCTGTTCTGTTAACCTCACAGGATTATCAGAGGAATAAAATGAGAAAATAGTTAATCTGTGAAAGTGTTTTGTACATATGGAAGATACTGATTTTACATTCATTTTATTTTTTATCTTGTGGAAGACATAGAATGCATCCTGAAACTGGGGCTGGCAAATGGCATGGTGGTTAAAGGCGCTGGACTCCCACATGGCCGACCACAGTTCAAGTCTCAGACCTGGTGGCTTGCTTTCTCACTTCCTCTCTCTCTCTCTGTCTCTCTCTGATCAAATTGGAAAATAATAATGATAATAATAATAATAAATAAAAAGTTAAGTAAAATAATTTTTAAAAAAAGAATGCATCCTGAAACTTAGCCTAGCCAAATTTATTTAATTTTGACTTATAAAGCAGTTAACCACATGTCAGAAAATCTCGGTAAAGAAAGTGTTACATTATAATTACTCAGCATTATGAATTACATCAAGTAGTCTTTGTTTTTGCCAAGCTCTTTAAATTTGTTGAATATATATATGCTTCTCTAAAATACCTTTCCCCTGCCACAAGTCTTTGGCATTGGCGAGAGGTTAAAAAGCATCACAGGTTTTGTGTAATCCATGGGAGGAAAAGAAAAGGTTGCTAAACCAGAATTTGTTCAAGGTAATTGGGATTTTTTTTTTTTTAAAGACTTTTGCTATAGGTTACATGCACTTGCCAGAGAGAGAGAGAGACAGAGAGACAGAAAACAAGAAATCACTCCACTGTGGGGATGGCCTTGCTGCAGTCTCTTCTCCATTCTCCTCTTAGGATCTTAGGCACGCTTACACACGTGCCTGGCATGAGTTTCAAGCTGCTGAATTTGGGACTTGAACCCCGGTTGGCCATGTGGGAGTCCAGTGCCTTAATCACTACGTCACCTGCTGACCTGTAAATGGTATTTTTGAGGGATTTCTTCTCTATCCTCTGTATCCTCTTTTTTCCTCCCTTCCTTTCAATTTGCTCTAGGGTACTAGTACTCACAGAGATAGAGAATGTGAGAACACACCCCACAGAGAGGATGGGTGCGATCCCTTCGCCTTCATTTCTTCTCTTGGGATTTTGGGCCTGCATGAACATGTGCCCAGCATGTTTTTCAAGCTACAGGGTGTGAGATTTGAGCTACACTGTTAGCCATGTGGGATCAAGCTGTCTTTTTATTTTATTTTATTTTATTCATTCATTTATTTTTAATGTGACCAGAGAGAGACAGAGGGTGAGAGTGAGAGAGAGGGGAAGTGAGAAAGCAAGCCACCAGATTCAGGACTTGAACCCTGGTCAGCCATGTGGGATCAAGCTGTCTTAACCACCACACCATTGGTTGGCCCAAGCCTGTTTTACTTTAGCATATCATTTTCCTTTTCTGCTTCCTTCATAACAATGAGGTTTGTTTTGTGTTTTTAATTTGCCAGAGGGCATGTGTACTCTCCAGAGAGGCATGGCAGCAGGGCATACACACTGCCCCTCGTGGAGCATGGTCACATCTCACCACAATCCCTATTCTGTCTCCCTCCTTCTGGGATTTTGGCCATACATAAACACATCCCTGTCATGGGTGTTTTTGTTTGTTTTGTTTCTTTGTTTTTGCCACAGGGCATGTGTACTTGCTGGAGAAAGAGAGAGAGAGAGAGACACGGAGGGAAAGCAAGAAATCACCCCTAACAGCATAGCCATGCTGCAATGCCTTCTCTGTTCTCAGAGTTTTGGGCACACACCCACATGTGTGCCCAGTATAGTTTTCGTTTTTCTTTTTCTTTTTTTTATTTTTTGAGAGAAATTTTTGCTATTAGGGTGCGTGTGCTCATCAGAGAGAGAGAAACAGAGGGACAGAAAGTGCGAAATCATTCCCCAGGGCAGATGGCCATGCTGCAGGCTCTTCTCCATTCTTCTCTTGAAATCTTGGGCACACATGCAAACGTGCCCAGCGTGTTTTAAGCTGCTGGATCCAGGAGTCAAATAGTGGTCAACTACGTGACCTGCGACCTAACGCCATGCCACCTGGTGGTCTAGCCCAGCGTGATTTTCAGACTACTGGGTTCAGGACTTGAGGTCGGCCATGTGGAAGTCTAGTGCCTTAACAACCACACTACTAGTTGGCCCCAACCTGGCATGTTGTATAAGCCACCAGGTCTAGTACCATCTTAACTACCAGGCTAACTAACCACTAGGCCACAAGCTGGCCTAAGTGTTTTGTTGTTTTTTGTTTTTTGTTTTTTTTAAGAAATATTTAAGTTTATTTTATTTATTTATTTTCATTTGACCAAGAGAGTGACAGAGTAGGGTGGAGGGGACTGAGAAAGCAAGCTAGCTGCCAGGTTCGGGACTCAAACTGCGGTCGGTCATGTGGGAGTCCAGCACCGTTTACCACCATGCCACCTGCCAGCCCCTGGCCTGAGATAGATAGTTTTAATTGACTAGCTAGTTTTGTTTTGTTTTGTTTTGTTTTGTTTTGTTTTGTTTTGTTTTGAGAAGTTTTTACAATAGGGCGCATGCATTTGCCAGAAAGAGAGACAGAAAGTAAGAAATCACCCCCAAGGGGGATGGCCATGCCGCAACCCCTTCTCCATTCTCCTCTCAGGATCTTGGGCACGCATGCACTCGCACCCGGCATGAGTTTAAGCTACCGGGTCTGGGACTTGAACTGCGGTAGACTATATGAGAGTCCAGCGATGTAGCCATTACACCATCTGCTGGTCCCATGGACTAGCTAATTTTAATAGACTAGCTCACACATAGTCCTGTTTATAGGTACAAAACTTAATGAGAAGAAAGTCAGATAGGCAGAAAACAAGATTCTTTTTGTTTGTTTGTTTTGTTTTGTTTTTTAGAGGTTTTCACTATAGGACGTGTGCGCCCCCCAGACAGACAGCCAGAGACATAGATACAGAAAGCGAGAAATCACCCCCCAGGGGGATGGTCACGCCGCAATCCGTTCTCTTCCATTCTCCTCTCGGGATCTTGGGCATGCACGCACACACACCTGGCGTGAGTTTTAAGCCACCGAGTCCGGGATGTGAACCGTGGTCGATTACGTGGGAGTCCAGCGACATAGCCATTATGCTAACTGCTGGTTCCCACAAGATTCTTTTATTTTCCTCTTTCGTTCTTTTGGTTTAATTTGCTAGCAAATATAGGCATGTGCTAGAGAGAGACAGAGAGACAAAAAGTGAGAAAGCACCTCTCATGGGAAATAGTCATGCTGTAATTCCTTGTCTTCTATTTCTGAGATTTGGGGCATGCAAGCACCCACACCCAGTGTGTTTTTCAAGTCACCAGGTCCAGGACTCTAACTGCAGTGTTTATGTTTAGGATCCAGTCACTTTACGTACTGTGCGCTGACCCTAGGATTCTTTTATAAGAAATTTAAAAGGCCATAATTGAGATTAGAAGGGTCAAAGACAGTTTATCAAATTGATTGATTGCCTCTGAGAAGAGATCATTAAAAGGACTGGGGAAGAGACAGAAGGGTCTCTGTCCTATAGAAATATTAATATTTTTTAAATTACCATAGGGGCATGCGTGCCAGAGAAAGAAAAGGGGAGAAAATACCCCTCCAAGTGGAGCGTGATCACATTACAATTCCTTCTCCATTTCTTCATTCTCTCTGGACTTGGGGCATGCACACACATGTACCCAGCATGTTTTGTAAGACATCAGGGCTAGGATTCAAACTGCAGTCAACAATGTGGGTCTGGCTCCCTTAACCACCAAGCAACAAGACCAGGCTGGTTATACTAATTTTTATATAAAAACTCAACAAAATTAGGGGGTAGTTACTTGATCAGATGTTTCCTAAATTGTTCCTATTTCATTCTGTGCTTTAAAAGTATGTAAATATATCATTGCAACCTATTGTATGTGATAAATGCACATTCGTGGGCAGTGGCAGTCTAGAGAAAGGGAGCTGTTCATTCTGCTAGGGCTTCAAGAAAGGCTTAGTGGGGCTGGCAGGTGGCTTGGTGGTTGAGGCACTGGACTCCCACATGGCCGACCACGATTCGAACCCGGACCTGGCAGCTTGCTTTCTCACTCTTCTCTCTGTCTGTCTCTCTGCAAAATTGAAGAATAATGATAATAAATAAAATTTAAAATAAATGTTTTATAAAAAAAAAAAAAGAAAGAAAGAAAGTCTTAGTAGAGGGGGGACCATTTGAGTTGGGGCTACTGATAGCAACAAAATCAAAATATCACCTCCTATTGCTTTCATGTCTACAGTGAATGTTCTGAGTGTGCTGACTTGTTTTGGTTGTGTGCACTTTTTCTTTCTTTCTTTTTTTTTTTTTTTGAGAAGTTTTTGCTATAGGGCATGTGCGCTCACCAGAAAGACAAA